AGTGAACTAAGCTAAGCCGAGGAGGTGCGCGAGCAGAGCTGCCAGTCTATGGGCTATAGGGCGGCGGGCAGGCGGCGCACCTGCTTTCAAATCTCCCTGTAGCGAGCCTCGCCATTGAACGTTGCAAAAAGTGCCATGCGTTGCGGGCGCGAAAGCGCCGTTTGAAGTAGGTGTTTCCTGATTCTGACAGCCGTTTCCATTACTGATAGGCAAGGTTCGCGAATGTCAGAAATTTCGACAGTCTTTCTGTGATTTCGCCGCTGACACAGCTCGTTACGAACAGATTACTCGGTTACAGTTTTTTATAAGCAATGTGAACACTGTTCACGTCCAAATGTCGTATCCCTCTTGTCCCCCACTAAAATTGCGGACTGTTCGCTGGCCAGCTATGGATCCTGCGCCGCCAAATTCCATTCGGCGCACGCGATCCATAAGCTGCCGCGCTGCATACTGTCGTAGGGACGTTCCCGCGGTCGCGGCCCCTTGCCGCGGACTGCGCGAAAGATGCTGCGCTTGACGGCGCTTTCGGAATCAAAATCTCCTTTCCGGCAAAACGGCTTCTCTAGTATCCGTCTCACTGGATTATAAGCAGGGTGAGATAATGACAATGTGTATTATTTTGTCAATTATTCCACCCTGTTATAACATATGACCCTTTATTTTGGGCGTGAGATCTGCCAACATGGCTTCTTTCTCCCTCACTATCAATTCGATTTACGCGTATGTATGTCGCCCACTACCTCACGCCGCTTACCTCTATAGTTATTACACTTGGCAGTACTTACGTAGCTTTTATCGAATACTGAGACCCATTTCTCCATTGGTGAGCGTATCTGCGTTCGATCACTTCAACAGTATGACTGATACAAGAACTCCTGCAACACAATAAAAAATCACATACATTTCAGGGGTAGAAATTACTTTTAACGTAGGAATGTCCAACGGACCGCCCTACGCTTGCAAAAAGAGAGAGTCCGCAGCAAAAATGGGGGAGTCTGCAGTCTGAAGTTCAAAACTAAAGGATATTAACAATATACGCGTTGGACATTGCAGACATTTTGCCCAGTGGCACGTATGCTAAAATTTTTCAGCATCAAATTCCTGATGTTCTACTCACCACATGGGGTTAGAATGTATATCACAATTGCCCAATGTCTACAGTCTCACTTTCACATAGTCATAGCAAAAATGTGGCAAAATGTTATTTCTCCCTCTTTTATAGTTTTGCACTGAAGAAAAAAAGTTCAATATAATTACTATATACTTTTCTGTAAAAATTTATCTAACCCATCTTGCGCTAACTAATTAGCAGAGAAATAGTACTCGAAATTTCTTTAGAATCATGGATCAGTTCAAATTTAAATTGTCAACAAATATGGCATATCAAATCTTCCACCCTGTAAATTTACACCGCTAAAAAATTTGCACTGGTAAAGCCTTTCGCAGTATGAAAATCAAATCGAAGGCAATCTTAGTAATATCATTGGTTCAGTACTGTCAATAATCATCATAACCTCAGTCTTGTTGGCATGGGTCGTACAAAGCAAACTGCAATACGTTCCAAGCGAAGCCAAATCAATGACAGCTGTATAGCCAATGCCACAGGAACGTACTTGGCCCTTCATGCTGCAATATCTGTAACAATCGCAATCACACAGATTGCATAATAATCATCACCTTAGATTGATAGTACGGCAGTAGTTACAGACGCCACTATATAATTCTTTCAACGCCCTGTACTCTTGTTAGCACAACCAGTATATAATGGTTCACTCAGGCTGACCTCAAACGTTCCTGCCGTCTTGATCTTCCAAAAACTTCGTATACTTACACATCTTGGGGAGAACACGGGGGATACATGTAGTTGGCGACAACTGCCCTTTCTAGTTGGGTTTGGCATGTCTCGTGATTTTTAGCAATACAGTTATAGTTTATTGTTGATTTTCTACAGAATAATGTTAATACAGTCTGTTAGTGATTGCATACCTAGGGGGAATGGTGTATATATTAACTCGTGTGCTAGGTGCAACCACAATGTACCGTGACCATGTAGCGTGTTTGCAGTAGAATTGGTTTAACTTGACTTGTGCTAAGTAATGGAGTGCATACAGATTATGGTTACATTTTGTACCACGTACACGTTATCTTTCAATCGACGTCGATACAAACCATCTTCAGTCGTAACAGATATTTAGCACACCTTTATAAGCCTTAACATTCCTGAATGGAAATGATTCCTTCCATTAAAATTCCAGATAATGTATGATTTGTATTTTCTGTATTGCTCTTTTTGTAGAAGTGTAACGAGGATGATGACGTTACCCGGTTCAAAGTAGATTTGTTGTAGCGATGAGTAAGGAAAACTCCAAAGTCCAAGCAGTTGTGTTTTGCAAATAGTATTATTGTTTCTCAACCCACATGCGTGCGCACGAGGCACGCATCCGCGTGACTCCACACACTCTCGTTCTCTTCCCTCTCAACCAAGAACCTTCCATTTATACATTTCTAGCTAACAAAGAAAGTCGCGCGCAACCACACCTGCTGCACACATGCACAACAACTCGCTCTCAACCGTTTCTCATCTCCATCATCCATACTACATCAAATGCGCTGCCGCCGACTAACCCATTATGCAACCACCGTCACGACATTTCCAATCACCCAACTACTAGTTGTAACATCTGCAAACCACACTTTACATTACCTTCCTTTCCTCCAAGAATCGACTTTAGCGTCCTTGCTAATCTAAAATAAACCCTAATCTTAATCTACCCTATCTTTATGTTTAATGTTCAGCAATGTTAGCTGAAAATCACCACAAAATAATTTAGAGGTGATGTGTCTAGGATGCGCATGCTAATGTTTAAATTAATAGCCTCTGGAATCTCATTCTCTACAAGGAATTGAGCTAGATTGCAAATCTGAATGAGGCTTGGTAGATATCAAAATACAATCTATGATTGGAGAGCTGCCCAAACCTTGTATTTTTAGCTCATCTGACGAAGTCTTATTTAACAGATGTTAAGAAATGACAAAAACATGGTGACTAAACTGGACCCAGCAACTATCCAACTGGTGGCTCTGGACCTGGTGGTTCATCGTAGTGGCACAGGTCTAGTTGTGAGTGGCACGCTCGTCGCTCACGCACACTCATACGCATGTACGCACGCATATGCACGCAGACATACACAACACACGTCTATTCCATTTACCAATAACCGTCTGAAAGTAACCAAAGCTTCGCAAATAGCTGCCCTATATATATATATCTGTTATTTTTTCTCATCATTTCTTTTAAGCGTGTCATACTGTAGTATTTCTAGCACTGTCAGTTCTTATTTCACGCGGTATTTAAGCAGTTCAGCTAGGCTGCGTTCTGCTCGTTTACATTATGTTTTAGTCATGTGACTCGCGGGTTTCTTTGTCGCGTTATAAAAGCGTCTGTTGTGCGTGGCGCGTGCACTTTTGCTGCTTGAGCCGTATACGTTCGCATGCGCTCGCGCATTTTCCACGATGCACCATACATTGTAAGTGTTGTCTCTTGGTTCTCGCCTAATTTCTTATAATTTGAATATTTATTATATAACGTTGGATAATCATATAATGAACATTACATGACATGAGCGACATAATATTTACTGTGCATTATTTTGTATTTTCAGTTTTATCTGCACGTGTGCAGCTACGCACGTGTTGAGTAATAAATTTGGAACGTATGAAAAAGATGCCGAGTTGAATATTGGACACGCACGGAACGTAACAATATCATATATGCGTTATATGTGAGATAAATGTCCACGGCTAGAAATTAACACACCCGCGCTGTTTCTGAAATCTGCTGATGACTGCTGATGCTGCTGATGATGCTATTTCATATATATTGGCAACCGTCTGAAAATAACTAAATATGACAAAAGTGTTTTTTTATGGCTAATCTGTTATTATTAGCATTAGTGTTGTCAATATGAATGATTATTTATGAAGATGAAGCATGCCTGGCATGGGATGACGAATACTCTCGTCGGAACGCGTACAGATTCCCGTCAGGGCGATGCTGACGGCATTGCAAAACAAGTGCTCATCCCATAGAAACACGTAGTCAATATGGACGTGCCCGTCGTCCACCGTCGTATGTACTTCAGCATTAGTACTATATATAGTAGTTAGGATGCCAGTCAGCGAGAGGTATTTAACTACATAAACTTGTACTACCTCGCCGTATGCTATATCAGTTAGTCATACGCTTTGATGAGTATCGTATACACTGTCACTGTGATAATCATAATGATAATGTCATGACACGGACAGTGTCAATCACTCACTGTCTAATGTCTATTACTATTAGTATTACGTACGTGTCAACTTATAGTAATATTAGTTATTACTTTACTTAGACTAGAGTTAGAACACATGAACTACACTGGCCACAAGTTACTTTCTTGCTAGGACAAGTTACATTCTCGCATCCCACTACTGGCAGATCAAGAATAGAGAGCCTGGCGAGATTGAGACCCATGTCATTTTCGTAAATGTGGGGATAAAAATCGAGAGTGGTGTTGTTGAAGGCGTTGTCTAATAATTTCTAGCAAGAAATCTGTCATTTGTTGTCAGAAAGGCAGGACAAAACGTCTTTTAACTGAGGGTAGTCTAGCGTTCGTCTAAACCGACCAGGCTCTCCGACTAGTTACACGGCGGAGGAACCTCTCGCCACGTAGTGTTAAGCGAGATGGGAACTTGTGGCTAGCGTTCGTCTAGTTCTATGACGGCCGTGCGTGCATGTGTACCATAGGCTGTGTACCTGGCGCCCGCCACGGCCATTGAAGACTCGTTCGTTCCACACGTGTACGTAACTGATCTGCTGTATGCCCCCCCAAGGTCATGCGTATAGCATATGTATACACGTGCTGTTCCTGCGTGCTAGCGAGCCCCCCCCCTCTCCCCCACACACACATTCCAGCGGTCGAGCGAGTGAGTCGGCAGCAACCACCAGCGAGCAGCGAGTCAGCAGCACCGCGTTTGGCGTTGAAGATCAGACGCAGGACACGTTTGAGGTCAACCTTGAGTGACCATTATATACTGGTTTGGCTACACAAGAGTACAGGGGTGAAAGATATTAGTGGCTGTACTACTGCTGTCACTATCAATCTAAGGTGATGATTATTTATGCATCTGTGTGATTGCGATTGTTACAGATATTGCAGATGAAAGCCAAGTACGTTCCTGTGGCATTGGCTATAGCTGTCATTGTAATTTGGCTTGCTTGGAACGTATTGCAGTTTGCTTTGTACGACCCATGCCACAAGACTGAGGTTATTGATGATATTGTAAGTACTGAACCAATTATTTACTAGATTGCTTCGATTTGTTTTCATACTGGAAAGGTTTACCATGTGCAAGTTTTTACGTGTAAATTTACAGGGTGGAAGATTTGATATGCCCTATTGTTGACCAATTTAAATTTGAACTGTCCATGATTCTAGAAATTTCGAGTACTATTTCCCTGCCTAATTAGTTACCAAGATGTTTATGATAATATTTTACAGAAAAGTTATATAGTAATTATTTGAACTTTTTTTCTCAGTGCAAAAACTATAAAAGGGGAGAAATAACTGGCACATTTTGCTATGAACTATGTGAAAGTGAGACTGTAGACATTGGGCAATGTGATATACATTCTAACCACCATGTGGTGAGTATAAAATAGAATTGATGCTGACAAAATTTTAGCAGACGTGCACTGCAAATGTCCTGCAATGTCCAACGCGTTATTGTTAATATCTTTAGTTTTGAACTTCAGACTGCAGACTCCCCCATTTTGCTGCGGACTCTCTCTTTTTGAAGGTAGGGGGTCCGTTGGACTTCCTACTTAAAAAGTTAATTTCTACCCCTGAAATGTATGTTGATTTTTATTGTCGTTGCAGGAGTTCTTGTATCAGTCATACTTTGAAGTAGATCGAACCAGATACGTCTACCACATGGAGAAATGGTCTTTCAGTATCATAAAAAGCTACGTAATACTGCCAAGTGTAATAACCTATAGAGGTAAGCGGCGTGAGGTAGTGGCGACTACATACCGTAAATCGAATTGATAGTGAGGGAGAAGAGCCATGTTGCAGATCTCACTGCCAAAATAAAGGGTATATCTTATAACAGGGGTGAATAATGACAAATAATACACATTTGTCATTATTCACCCCTGCTTATAATCCAGATGAGACGGGATACTAGAGAAGCGTTGCCGAAAGGAGATTTGATCCGAAGCGCTCAAGCGCAGATCTTTCGCGCAGTTCCGCGGCAAGGCGCACGCGACCGCGGGAACGTCCTACGACAGTATGCAGCGCTGGCAGCTATGGATCCGTGCGCCGAATGAATTGGCGGGCGCACGGATCCATAGCTGCCAGCGAACAGTCCGCAATTTTAGTGGGGGACACAGAGGGTAGACATTTGGACGTGAAAGTGTTCACTTGTTTAATAAAAACTGTAACCGAGTAATCTGTTCGTAACCGAGCTGTGTCACGCGAAATCACAGAAAGACTGTCGAAATTCTGACATTCGCGAACCTTGCCTCAGTAATGGAAACGGCTGTCAGAATCAGGAAACACCTACCCGGCGCTCTTCGCGCCCCAACGCTGGCAACGTTTTTGCAACGTTCCAATGGCGAGGCTCGTACGGGATTTGGAAAGCAGTGCCGCCGCCTGCCCCGCCGCCTATAGCCCATAGACTGGCACTCTCTCGGCACCTCCTCGGCTTAGCTTAGTCACTCAATGGCAATCGAGGTGGGAGCGAGTCCTAGTCCAGGCTTAGCCAGCTTTCTATTGGGGGGTTGTTTTAAATGTTGGCAATTTGCTCGGCGCAGGGCGTGTACAGGATTTGGTACCAGGGGGGCCTAACGTAACCGCATAGTTGCGAGACGCGAAGGGGGGTCTGGGAATTTTTTTAAATTACACCCCCTCAGATGCGTTTCTGCGCGAACAAGGGGGGGTCTGGACTCCCTGGACCCCTCGCTGTACACGCCCCTGCTCTGGGCAGCGAAGCGACCAGGCGAGGGAGCCAAGCGACCGGCGGGGGGAGGGTGTGGGAGGGGTGTGTTCACTGTTCACCCTCCCGCACGGATGGAGATTTTGCAATTATACAACTAAAATGGAGCGACCTGAGGTGAAATTCTTGCAAATTTTCAAAAAAACAATTTTTTGGCTTGGGGGAGGGGCTCGGGGGGGGGTTCGTTCGAACCCCCGCGAACCCCCCCTGGCTACGGGCCTGCTAGTCTATATATAGCCTTTGCACCTCGCAACCTTCTTGAAAGAGAGTAGGCCTATACTAGAACATTAAATTCGTAGTAAATATATTTCGTTTAGTTTAGCATTATATTTTATTGAAACGCTTCAAGTGGCCTGTGTCTAGTATAGCCTAGGGTATTCTAACCCTAGAAAGAGCGTTTTCTTGCTAGCTCGTAGTACTAAGTAGTACTAGTGGTTCAAGATAAGAGAACATGGCTCCCAATAATTATATGGGCCCCAATGTATGGCAATGGGCAATAAACACCAATGTCATTTACATCAATATAAATATTAATATTATATCAATATAATAGGTTAGGGTTATGGTTAGGGTTCGTCATTATGAGTAAGTTAATTAGCTAGTACCAGAGTTAGTCATTATTACTATTACTATTAGCTCCTGCGGTCCTGGTAGTTACTAGTACTAGTACTAGTAGTGCTGGTCACTTATAGTACTACTACTACTAGTACTAGTAGTAGTACTTAGTAGTAATTATTGTAACATGTACTTAGTAATTACAAGGTATTCGTAGCCGTAGGTGTGGAATGTATACCAGTCTTAATGTGCCGCTAGTGGCAATTGTCAGTCTAAACAAACTTATCATCAGTGTGTGCTGTACGTGCGGGCTTGATCTTGCTGCCAGTGGCTGGTACGATGGAATATATGCAAAAACGGCAAAACGGGCTAGAGAGGAGATGCGAGCGCGGGGTCAAGAGGTTCATAAAAACCTCGCACGTACGTGACAGGAGAAGGAACATGGCTACGATAATGAAAACGCGACGTCACGATTCCAGTTAGACTGGTACGGACGTTAATTCGGGCAAGTCTCTTTCGCTACACTAAAGTTATAGTTAGTGGAGGTACTTGTACTAGAGAATTAGTAGAGTATAGTACAGATAGTAAAAACGGTTGAAATTAAACATGAACTTTCATATTGCGTAGACTGACTAATAGTTGTATATGCGTTACTATATGTATAAGAATTATTTGTTATTTCTCTTATAACATAGTACTGGATGTATATATAATGTATATGTATGCAGACTAATAACACAACAGCAACGGAGAAAGGCGCAAATAGTGCAATTAACGGCATATATATTATTCTACTGAGAGCCTGGGAGACTGATATTACGCGGCAATATCTCGGCCTAGCATTTATCGTAGAGATTAACTGTAGTACTATATAGCCCGCTTACATAACTGGCGGGCGCTCGTTCTTTCTTCCGAATCCAATTCGAATCCGAATGCGGTAACCCGAAGAATTGTATCCTGACTGCTTCTTTCTCTTCGTCTTGCGTGACATGTCGGCTGGAACAGGCGATTGCTTGTCCGGCTTACATGCGGAGCCGCGCGCTGCGCTACTGCCTACCTGCCTGCCGTAACGCCACTGCTCTGGCTATATTATATACATGGCTTGAAGTCTGACGTCAATGATCCGAACACATCAAAGCATGGGGGGTAATAAACAGACGGCTACAGACATACGGCTGGTGGCATTGTGCCACATAACGTCTAGTGCCAATTATCAGTGTAAACAAGCATAATCAGTCAGGCCTGCGCGTGTTTCTAAGATGGCTGCGAGAAATTAGCTGGGACGTCACGATTCAGATAGACTGGTACGGACGTTAATTCGGCAAGTCTCTTTCGTCACTAAAGTTATGAGTTAGTGGAGGCGTGTCCAAAGCTCTGCACCGCGGGGCAGTCTAAAGAAAATTCTTTGCAAAATGACTTGAGAGAGCGCGTGTCGCGCCATCTATGGGTAGCGATATGTACGAGAATAAGTCAGGCGCGTGGAATTAAATAAATTCGAAATCGCTTTTCTAGAAGAAAAACTAACGCGCGCCCAACCAAAAAAAGTAGCAATTACGACCATTGGATTTATTCTCGCCATACGTGCATAGTCGAAAGGTTTCTGCCAAGCGCCACAACTCCTCAATTGGACCGATACAGGCCCATTTGACATAACCGGTAAAATTGTTCTAATACAGAGCAGCGAGTTGGATGAAATGGCGCCACCCAGGTGGCGCTGTTCGCGCTTCGCGCGGATATCCGGCTGCAGATCGTCCAGATTCAACGAGACGGCCATGTCCGGGTTTATTCGCTTCATGCATCTGTATACTGTATACGCTGTATATCTCGCGGTGGTTTAATTTTTGCGAATTTCGCGAACGCGTCCCCGACCGCGAAAATAACAACACGCGAATAGTTCATACCAAATAATTCATAATTCACTGACTGCGAAATTAACCACTTGAGAAATTGTCCGTCATGTCTGAATTCGTGAAATATCTGTACGAAAAATATGGCGTATACAGTATGTTAAGCTTCATCGGAGAAACGCTGTGTGTAGTTCACGCGTACCTAACACATGTGTGACCCTCGTGGATCACTCGTAAGATTAACTTGTCATCTGCGCATGATCGCTTCTGCTTCTACAGAGTTTGAGCTTTACCTGAAGGAATTCGCGGAAGATGTGTTGGGGCCGGGAGAGCACTCTGCGCTTGTCGACAGGCTGCTGGCAATGGCCGACATCAACCATGACGCAAAGGTGACCGATTTCGTCATTCAGACGCCTTTTTACCGATCTTCCGTAGTTGATTTACGTAGTGGAGCATATTAAGAAGTGGGCGTCTTCCAAGCGTCTGTGAGGAAAGAAATCATCGTGATTTCCAACTTATTAACGTTATCATTTTTAGCTCATCTAACATAGTCAGATGCAGCTTGTAGAATCGCATGAGCGTGCGTCCGTGCGTCCGTCGTCCGTGCGTCAACAGTTGGGGCCAAATCTTAACCGCTCGACGGTACGTCACGATATTCGGGCGTTGGGGTGGGGGGGTAATCCGAAAACGAGTTGGGATGTCAAAGCCCAGGGCAAAGGTCAAGGTCAAGAAGGTGTAAAAGAAGGGGGAACATTCCCTCCTTAACTTAAGGTATAGGAGGAAATACGGAATTGCGGCACAAATCTCAACGACTCTACCTACGCTCTTAATATTTGATGTATAGTGTGATGGGGATCGAGGAAACCCATCACCAGTGCAAAATTGGAGGTCACAGGTCAAAGGGCAGTGGGGGAAAAGGGAAAGGTCAGATATCAGACATTTTCTGAGGACATGGTCTAACGGACCGAGTGCAAAACTTTTTTGTTTCAGCGCAGACCTACCATTTTTATCACTTTATTGAAAAGACCGTCAAATCTACTTTCGGCTGACGTGCGAAGAGTAAGTGTCTGATAACCTTTTGACCATCAAGAGGAGAGTTAAACATGGATTTGTTGACGGTTAACAAAGGATTGAACTGCTTTTGCTATTAGAGCCCTCTCCACCCGTCCCTCCTACCCCCTCCCCTCCCCCCCCCCCAACACCACCACTACGCTCGCGCTCGACGCATATCCATGATAACGTTAATATGGCGAAGTCATTAAAGCTACACAGCTATATCTTTATTACTGTACTACCGGTATAGCAAAGCCTATCAACGCGGTGGCGGGAGGGCGCACTTGATTCAGTTGCCAGTGAGTTTATCAGAAGAATAGCCGGCTACAGTACACGTCAGTTGAGAGCTGTCGCTCTGCGGCACTTGTTAGTTCACCTTGACATCGTCAAGATGAGCTATTGCCATGTGGCGTTGTCCGTCGTACGTCCGTCCGTCCGTCCGTCTGTCCGTCAACATTTGTCTACGGTCAACGATAACTTGAGAACCGTTTGACCTACATGTTTCAAATTGCATACAGTTGTTACTCCTATCGGCGAGATTTGAACGTCCTATTTTGGAGCAAGCCAGTCGACCTACTTCCGAGCCATGCCCACTTTTTGGCAAAAATGAAAATGGCCATCTAGATTCATTCGATTTTGTTGAATTTATTACCTACCTACCTACCTACCTACCTAATCATACCTACGTGTAATATTGTGTTTTAGATTCTTCGTTACAGTAATTTGATTGAAATATTTTATTGCTTTTATTTGCACGATAATCAAAAACGAAAATGGCGATCATTTAGGCGTAGCGACATCTCTCGCCCAGATTTCAGACTTTCAGATCTGAAACATTTATTTTTGCATCAAAACTAACCCTGAAACAAAGCAGTGAAATTTCTATTAGTATAGGACATGGAATAAGGACATTTGATCACATTTCGGTCCATCATAAATGAAACACTTACCAAATTTTAAATATTATCTCCCTTTTCTATCATACCCAAGGTGAGCTATTAGTGTCATTGACACTTTCATTTCATGCTGTATTTGCTAGTGCATGTGAGAGAGAGAGAGTGATAGTTTCATTGAAATGATGACTAGCATCAGATTTTATTGGGCCATTTTCATGCGGACGATTGTTACGTTTACACGTTTTAATCTGTGCGACGAAACAGCATTTCATTATCGCTTCTTGAATTCAGTCTGTGTTGTCACTGATAACGATCAGCCAAATTTCCACAATTGTAGATATCCCTAGCAGAAGCTCAGACCATCTGGTTACTTATTCACACTGGTGACTTCTTCCTGAGGGTGGTTCTGAGGGGTTCGAGCGTAGTCGCTACTATACAAGGCTTCTGCGGTGGCCTCTATGCCTACGAGGATGTGCCAATTCGAAGCCTGTACAGTATGTGGGTAATCATGTCCCGCCTGTGGCCGTCCAGATACTATAACAAGTAAGTCTGACTTCAGCTTAACACGTATGCGATGTACAGACATAATACGGTTTAATGTTTTAACGTTATAAATGTCTGCCCAAAATAGTGTGGGTCGAATATTAGGTTTATAAACACCTAAGGATTAGGTAACAATACTCGCACCCACATTCTATTTCGGAATGATCAGAATGATTCCATGCAATCTAACGATCATGGCGATTTAATTAATGATCGTGACACATGGTAAAGATTTCTGATTGGTCGAGTGCGATTTTCAGAATGTTTCCGTACAGACTGCCGAGCTGGCAAGCGCGTGCAAAGCACGTCGTCGCACTGCTAGAGTTCGCGGACCAGTTGACGTCCGACGACCGCTACGGAAGCTTCTACGTCTGCAACGTCGGCAGGTCAAAGTTTGGATTCACGCTGAAAGACGAACTCCGGATCACGGACATGTCACAGGCAAGTCACGGGGGGGGGGGCGTCTGCGACGAACCGGCCCTCGTTCGCGTTTGTTGACTTTCAGTGGGCACGTCGGCCAGCGCGCTTGTTTTTAAAAGCCTGGTGCTGTGCAGCAGATGATGGCGGGAGTGGATCTGGAGTATGTTAAAGGTGCGGTCAAAGCAAACTTGGTGCTCTGCGTGTGTCACTCAGTGTTTACCGTATGACGTGCCAGGTGCAATATTCTCATTTGGTTGCATGCACACATGGTTGACATCTACTCCATTTTTCCACCCTTGCATACCTAACTAATCATGTCTGTTTATGGTGATTACTGCTAATTAGATTGTTATTTCATAAAATAAAGTTCAATCGTCATTACTGCATTCTTTCAGGTGATATCCAAGCACGCGTTAGAACGGCAGGTATCGGGCATGCCGTGTGAGACTGACTCGGAGTGTTCCTTCGGAGACACGTGCGTCGTTACCTGTGATAGCAACACGCATACCTGTCGGGCAGATGTAGCTCTACCACCCCTCTCTCAGGTTAGGGATAGTGTTAAACATCGATCTCTTAGTTAGCCCAGGGAAACTGATGGAACATTGTAAGGGACGTCTTAGCAGTGATCGCCATATGCTAACAAAGTGAGAAGAAGTCATTTGATGTAGTTATCAGTGTTGTGAAATTCTATGCCCAATTAATATACGTGCTGGCACGTGTCGTCGAGTGTAAAAGCACAACTTTTAGTGATTAACGTGCTAGATTTTATGCAAAGCAGCATGATTTCAGTGGCTGATTTCAGTGACTCACTATAATCTATGATTTCTCACTAGCTAACTGTAGTAATAGTAGCAGTAGGAGCAACAGGTTAGCACCGTTGTGCTGTCATTTGCCTAATTAGTATAGCTGTAGCTGCCATAGCTGTACTCTATATCTGTGTAACATGTAGGAGGGCAGAGCTGCGGGGTTCACACACAGGGTGTTCCAAAAGATACTCCTTTCATGCAGACTATTCATCTGAAGAATGGCATTTGCATCTCATGCAATAATTTTTGTGGTTCTTGTGTCTCTGCATCTTACAACCCAGTCACATAGTCCACAGTGCTCGTAAATTCCCTATCTGTACAAAACTGTGTCTCTTGGCATTATATGCACTGAAAATATCTGTTTGGTTAAAATGGATAAACCTCGCAACAAAAAGCCTATATATGCCTACTGTGAGCATACTTACAGTGTGCAAACATCACAAAATGTTCTCATTGATCCAGAGTAGTGCTACAAACATTGGGATTTTCAAAATCGCGTCCGACGCGGTAAATGTTACACAGCTAGCAGTAGCCCTATACTAGTGCAAATAGTTCCTGGAACGAAAACACTATATTTGTTTCCTGATTGCATAAGTAATATAGATAACGATATGGTTTAAACAAATTTCACAATTTTGTACTGAATAAACATCGAATAATGAATTATAACTTGTTTTATCTTAGAAAGGAACTGTTAATGAATCGAGCCGATCGCTCCGCTGTAATTTCGTTTAGATTTTGAGAACAAATGTTATGAAAGTAGCAATACAAATGAGTTGTAGTAAATTTTTGCAACATATGCAAGCTCATAGTAGGTATATATGCGAGCGTATATATGCTGCGAGGTTTTGCAACTTTAAAGCCCAATTACAAAGACCGTTTTAATGCGCATGTATTTGCTACACATATGAATATGAGCAATGCACTCGGCATTTCATCTGAATGGTGTGTGAATGACCTTGCCGTGCTATTGTCGTCTCTCTTCTAGATATGCAGGCTTGTAAAGCCCTACATCATGCTCAGCTGCCCGACAGATATCGCTCACCAGGTGGAGCTACTGCTGTATCGTTGTTCGGTGATGCGCAATGAAAATGCATCGCCTATATTGGAACTGGAAGCAAACATTGTGCGGCAAGAACTCTTTGCTTTGTTATGGGATAAATTGCAATATCTATAGCATATATATATATATATATATAGTAACTTGTGCTATATTATATATTGCATATATATATGTATATATATCAGGAGTAGATAATAGGGAAGGAGTGTGACTTCAATAAACGAGGGAAATTCGTCATTTACTAGCCTTATAATACCTACGATTTACTACGCGTAACTCATCCAACTTGAGCTCATAATTATCGTACACAGTACATTCGCCTAGCATCGTGCGAAATCGTTTCCTCGTATACACCCGCAATCCGGAGATACAGACTAAAGCGTACGACACGATTTTCCATTCTGTTGCCAGCAAACTCTACGTGTTTTCGGCCGAAATTTAAACAAAAGGCAGCTACTAACGCTCGGCGATGCGGTGTGACACGCTGGGAGATTGGACATCGACGCAACACTCGGCGAGATAACCTTTGACCCGACATACAGCTACATACCGGCATACAACTGGTATGCCCCCCCACGTACGCATGCCCACCACAATCAGCAGCAATCTCCCAGCGAGCCACACCGCATCGCCGAGCATTAGTAGCTGCCTTTTGTTTAAATTTCGGCCGAAAACACATCGTTTGCTGGCAACAGAATGGAAAATTGTGTCGTACGTTTAGTCGTATCTCGATTGCGGGTGTAATACGAGGAAACGATTTCGCACGATGCTAGCGAATGTACTGTGTCGATTTGAGCTCAGTTGGTGAGTTACGCGTAGTAAATCGTAGTATTTAAGGCTAGTAAATGACGAATTTCCCTGTTTATTGAAGTCACACTCCTTCCCAATTATCTACTCTGATATATATATATATAAAATATATATAAATATAATGTAATATGTGCAAGCTACTTTTTCGTTCAGTGTGAGAAAGCAGAACAATTTATTTTAATGCATTAAAGTATGAGTGTGTACATTAGAAAAACCACAGAATGATAGTTTTTAGAAGTGCCATGTGTCAAAATACTAGACTTCTTTTTGGTAGTCTCTAACCAAGCAGAGTGATTATTGTGGCTGCAGCTAGTAAATGGCAATTGGTTATGGTACACAATACCACACATATCAATCTAATACTGGTTTCTGCAAAGTATATGAAGCAGGATGTTTTTATTCAGGTTGCCTTTTCAGTCGTGATGCTTATTATTTATTTGTTTTCCTTGTTTTTAAGTGATTTTTGTTTTTCTTGCAATTAATATGCGGGAACGAATATTTGTAAATTATAATGTATTTTCTTTACATTTACATCTAATGATTGCAATGTACAAACGTTAATTGTATCCCCCGTGACGAAGTGCGCCCGGGGATACTATGTTTCATGTTCCCCGCAGCCTCCGCGCAGAGAATTTCCCTTCCGCTCTATAACTCGACCCTAATTGACCTAGCGTGACCAAACTTGGCATACTTCTACACATCTTGGGGAGAAGGTGTGAAAAGTACCAACAGCAGGTCACTGCGACCTTTATTTGACCTTTACCTTGACCTTGATCATATTTCCCCCTTCCGTCTATAACTCGGCCCCTAATTGACCTAGGCCTACACCTTGTATACTTACACATCTGGGAGAAGGTGAGCAGCATACCAAACCAGGTCATGCGACGCTTGACCTTGATCATATTTCCCTTCCGCTCTACTCGGCCCTAATTGACCTAGCGCTACCAAACTTGGTATACTCTACACATCTTGGGAGAAGGTGACACGCGTACCAAAACCAGGTCACTGCGACCTTATTTGATCTTTACGCTGACCTGATCATATTTCCCTTCCGCTCTATACTCGGCCCCTAATTGACCTACGCGCTACCAAACTTGTATACTTACACATCTTGGGGATGTGTGTCGCGTACCAAAACCAGGTCACTACGACCTTCACCTTGATCATATTTCCTTCGCGCTCTATAACTCGGCCCCTAATTGACCTAGCGCGACAAACTTCGTATACTTACACATCTTGGGAGAACACGGGGAACATGTAGTTGGCGACAACTGCCTTTCTAGTTGGGTTTGCATGTCTCGTGATTTTTAGCAATACAGTATAGTTTATTGTTGATTTTCTACAGAATACATGTTAATACAGTCTGTTAGTGTTGCATACCTAAGGGGGAATGGTGTATATATTAACTCGTTGCTAGGTGCAACCACAATTACCGTGACCATGTAGCGTGTTTGCAGTAGAATTGTTTAATTGATTGTGCTAAGTAATGGAGTGCATACAGATTTAGTTACATTTGTACCACGTACACGTTATCTTTCATCGACGTCGATACAACCATCTTCCAGTCGTAACAGATATTTAGCACCACTTTTAAACAATTAACATTCCTGAATGGAAATGATTCCTTCCATTAAAATTCCAGATAATGTATGATTTGATTTTCTGTATTTGCTCTTTTGTAGAAGTGTAACGAGGAGATGACGTTACCGCGTTCAAAGTAGATTTGTTGTAGGCGATGAGTAAGGAAAACTCCAAAGTCCAAGCAGTTGTGTTTTGCAAATAGTATTATTGTTTCTCAACCCACATGCGTGCGCACGAGGCACGCATCCGGCGGTGACTCCACACAATCCGTTCTCTTCCCTCTCAACCAGAACCTTCCATTTATACATTTCTAGCTAACAAAGAAAGTCGCGCGCGAACCACACCCCGCTGCACACATGCCAACAATCGCTCGCTCGAACCGTTTCTCATCTCCATCATCCATACTACATCAAATGCGCTGCGCCGACATAACCCATTACTGCAACGACACCGTCGCGACATTTCCAATCACCGCAACTATAGTTGTGTAACATCTGCAAACCACACTTAAATTACCCTTCGCTTTCTCCCAAGAATCGACTTGAGCGTCCATCGCTATCGTAAATAACCCTAATCTTAAAGGCATAATTCGACCATCGTTGAATGCAAAGTTGACCGTATAAGTAACTGGCACCTTGTGTCAGTTAATAAGTACATTACCTTTAGTCGCAAAACGGTATTAGTGTCCAATACTCATGCTATACTAAGGAAATGTCTAATTGAAATCGTAAGATTTGGTAAGCTGGCGAACGCTAAATTATTTACTAACAAACATAAACATCGAGTTCGGTTCCGGTGACGTCACAGTTGCTTACAGTGTTGAGCATAGATTGTCGTCCCGGTAAATTGTTTGCCTAGTGTTATATTTGCCTAGTTGCCCACATATTATATGTACTTGTAACTCGTCAAGAACTTCGTATATTCATGTTATTCCGCGATCCCAAAGTAATACCATAACGTACGGAATGGCGCACTCAGACTACAAGGATCAAATCACTGACGACCGAGCATACGTGCGAAAATGTCGTGCCTATAATCTGTATGACACCGCCTCGCCGGTTCTCGGCGGTTACGGCGCATGGCCGGTTGTAACTGTCACACCGCTTTCTTGGATGCGGAATTTTCATTAGAGATTTTAGTAACAGCAGTGATATTGGAAACAAACTAATACGCGTTTGGCTAAGGTGAATGATATATTAACTCAAAGGTGCCAGTACTCTAGCATTCGTCAACTTTGCATAATCGATGGTCGAATTATGCTTTAATCACACCCTTAGTGTTTATGTTTAATGTTCAGCAATGTTAGCTGAAACACCACAAAATAATTTAAGGGTGATGTGTCTAGATGCTCTGCAATTTTTAAATAAGCTTCTGGAATCTATCCGTTCTCTACAAGGATTGAGTCAGTTGCAAAAAATGCTGAATGACGCCTTGGTAATATCAAATAGCATCTATGATTGGAGAGCTGCCCAACCTTGATTTTTAGCTCATCTGACCGAAGTCGATGCAGATTGTAGAATCGCTATGATCGTCCGTGCGCTCGTCGCCTGGCGAGCGGTCCGTCCGTCCGTCAACAGTTGGGCACAATCTTAACGCGACTCGCGTACTCACGATATTCGGGACGTGGGGTGGTACCCGAAAACGAGTTGGGATGTCGAAGCTGGAGTCAAAGGTCAAAGGTCAAGCAGTGTAAAAGAAGGGAACATTCCCTCCTTAACTTAAGGTATAGGGCGGAAATGCAGAATTGCGGCACAAATCTAAACGGCTCGACCTAGGCTCGTGATAGTCGGTGTATACCATCATGGTAGGAAAGCCATCACTGTGCCGAAATTGGAGGTCACAGGTCAAAGGTCAATGGGGGCACAGGGCAGATTTAGACATTTTCTGAAGACATGGTGTGACGGAGCGATTGGAAAACTTCTTTTTTTTTTCAGCTGTGAGGGTTTAACATGGATTTGTTTACTGTTAAAAAGAATGACTGCCGGTTTGCTAGTAGAATCTATACAGGCCTGGATGTATGAAGGTTAAAATGTCACAGTGAAATTTCAAAACTAAATTTGCTTGTTTATGCTCCTTAAAATCGTATATAATTACTATGGCATTCTGTTATGTCAGTGTGGTTAACAATGTAACTGAGAGAGAGAGAGAGAGAGAGAGAGAGAGACAGAAAGACAGAGAGAGAAAGAGAGAGCGAGAGAGTGAGAGAGAGAGAGAGAGAGAGTGAAGGGAAGAGAGAGCAAGAATGAGAGAGAACGAGGGAGAGCAAACACGGCGATGGGAGGGTGCTCTTGATTCGTTTGCCCCCCGAGTTTAGCATCAGAACACCTGCCGTCAGGTGAGCGCTGTCGCTCTGCGGCACTTGTTAGTTTTGATGTGTGCTTTTGATATATATTTAATGGATGAAATGTCGAAACTGGCAACACACGAGCAAAACATTTTAACAAGAGTATTAGAGTTCAACAAGTTAATTTTATAGTTTCAAGCTAACTCCATCTTTGTACGTACCAGTTTAGTGGTACGCTTTCATGAAACAAGGTTTGCTGCATGATAGACAGCAAGATAACCATTTACTTCACATATGGTGTTCATCAAACAGGGAAAGACACCTAAAATTACCAAAACAATTTGGAAATAGCAAAAGCTTGTATAAATAATTGCAGAAAACATTGTTTTTGTACACTTTTTGCCAACTTGATATACATTATTGGTGCTTTACGCAACACAGTGCGCCATTAAAAGGTAACGTGATTATAAGATTTTGGAACTTGATGGGAATGATATCCCATATGACATTTTACAGGTTAAGGCTGAAATGATGATGAATATGAAAGACTTAAATGAGCAATTTTCAAATAACCATAATTTTCAATAAATCTTAAATAACAAAAGTTTAAAATGCAGTTCTCCAACCTGCCGCAACAGTTTCAGCTCTTTTGGGAATCTTTTTCCTTGGCAAAGTGATGGCGTGCGAAGGTCTCTGCTATGATAAGGGGCAGCACGAGAGTAACCTCTGCAAACACCTGAAACAACGTGAGTACACAATCAGCATATATCATGTGTCACCTTACAGTTACTTCACTGCATGACTATGCTAAGAAAATGTGTACAACTACGAGAAAAATCATGACGAAAACAAAAACTTGTTCGAACGTACAACGCGTGCACAACGCGTAAACGTGAACTGAACTGGCCACATGGATGCCAATTCTACACGAAGGTCGCCAGTAGAGTGGCTCTGACCTTGACTGGAGTGGCGGTTGGCTTTATCTTGCCCCAAGACACGGCCTCATCTGGCCGCGCCCCCGAGTCGCTGCCGTCGCTCTCCTGTGCCGTGTTTATGTACACCGAGAAGTCCGCTCCATTACGCTGAAAAACGATCAACGTGCGTGGTGGGGGAAGATGGATACGGACGTTGCGCATGAGTGGAGCGAAAGAATCTCATTCGTTCGCAGTGCAGAGCGAATGCGATGGAACGCACAATGCGTAACATTACTGCACTCAGACGGAGACAGAATGCTGCAGCTTATTTTGCAGATTGCAATTTCGTGAAAATGTACAAGGGCGAGGAGAAACACTATGTGACACGTTCGTCATGTGTGCGTGCATGCGTGCGTGCACGTGTGTGTGTACCGGTGTGCGTGCGTGCCTGTGTGTACCTGTGTGTGTGTGCGTGCGTGTGTACCTGTGTGCACGTGTGTGTGCATTCGCATATGAAAGCACTCACCATTAGATTCGCATTAGCTATGTGGTGCTTCACTAATCCACCTCCTAGGATTATCATACCGGTGTTGATTGCATACACTGCCTGGTTGTTTAGCAGGCGAATGTCTGAAAGCAGGGTGTGAAGTCAATGTTTTTGGTACGCAGAGATTAACAACCACTGGAAACCCATACGATTTTCAGCTAATCCATAACCTTTGCAAGTGGGATTAGGTCTGGCACACGAGGTAAAAAGAGCTGAACTCAGTGAGGTCTTCACTGCTAGCTCGGGAGTACCAATTTACAAGTAGGCATGACAGTTAAATTAGGATAATTGTAACACGATTGTTAAAAAAGGTATGTCACAGATTGTAGCATTCCAAAGATTGAGGGGCTTTTTGTCCAACCGCACCTTCTACTATGTCTAATATCAAGCCTGGATGTTTGTAGGAATGGAAATACAGCATATCACCAAGAGAGCCATCTGTCAGTGCTGGACTGTACACAGGTATATTGTTCTGCAACAGCAATTGATAGCAAGTAAGATTGTTGCACAGTCAACTACCACTACTCATAACTATCTAGTTATAACTCATGCCTGTACCAATACATCATTATAGTGCATTATTCGATACACACGTCGCAGATCAACAAATCCTACTAAATTACTATTTATACCTTATACGCCCAATAGTAAACGGAATCTGTATTGTCTATTTCTTTGCCAAGTCTTGCAATCATTTTTGAGGGTGTCCATCGCACGCCCTGATCATGAATCGGATGAAGTTTAAAAAAAGAAGATAAAATTAATATAAGCTGTAGCACAGGTACACATTATTTGCCTTTGAATACCATGTACAAGTTGTGTGATTGATATTACAGTCAACTCTATATAGTAGTCTATATATATATATATATATATACGTATATAAATGATAGTTAATTAATTAACTCCATATGTATTATTGTGATAAAAGATATTACACAATATATTTGTAACCCAATTTGGCAATGAATAAATATTTTTTAGGCTGCATCTGTGAAGCTACAACTGTAATAATTACCTGCTCCTTTTGTTCTATGACCATCTGGTCTAATATAGGCATGAGCCAATCTTCAAATAGACAGTAGTTGTCATTTGGAGACAAGAGGTTTCCTGAAAAACAGACGAAATTCGGTTCTTTTCTACATAACTCTATTTTCCATATGACATAATTACAAATTCACGCATACTCTACAAAATAACAGCTAGGTTTGTTCTTCACCTATTCTGTTTATTCCTTTTTTGCGTAGTTCTTTTCCTTTAAGAGCAAAGTCTCCAATGTAGGTGGGAGCCAAACATTTAACAAAGTCCTCCTCCACACCACCTGCTGTCGTTACAATGCAATCAACCTGGAGGAAACAGGAATCACATCAAAATCATCAGTAGCAAAAAAACAGCATATATAACCATGCTCACTTCATTCTAATCTAGCTTCTGCCATTAGTAACTAATTAAGGTGAAATCAGAGAAAGGCCCACCTAATTTCCATACCCTTTTGATTTACAATCCATATATACTGTAGAAAGTAGTACTAGAAGTACTTTAGTTTCTTCTTGGCCAAATCTTTATCTAACTATATGCCAACATCGCTTCAGGCTGTGATACATATATGATGAACAAAAACAGTAGGCCAGGTGTTGTGTTTATATTTGAGCTGCTAATCCTGACAATGGGGAAAACGTGAAGTTAGGCAGACACATCAGATGAGCTATTGAAACTATAGAATGGGCCGAGTTGATATTGAAATTTGATAAATTTGCAACTCTATAAAAATGCTGTGACATGAACAGCTAATAAACACCACTTACCATGTTATTCTCTACAAGAAACTTGATGTTCTCTCGCGTGCCAGCAGAGATAAGATTTGACGTGTAACCCAAAAATATTGTGCAGTTTGTTGGTTTGCATCCTGTCGGATTGAGTTTGTATATGTCTTCCTTGCGATCTAAAGGCAATGGCTCATTCTTCTTTGCAATCTAGATATTAAACATACCTGGTTACAGATACACGTAGCATAGAGGTTTGTGGGCACTCTAGAAAACCACATTAAAACTGTAGATAGAGGCAAACGAATTGTTAACTGGAGATGTTTGATCTTGATCGTCCATAGCATGCAAAAGAAAGATTTGCTTCAATTGCTATGAATGTACACAGGCATATCTCAACTCAACTATTTATGCTTTCGAAAAGCACATTAATCAACAGACATAGCTGGAACAAATCCCATAAACACTCCCACAAGATAAATATAGACATGCTTGACTTTTACAAAATTTTCAATAAGATCGAAGATTGCGCAAATTGCTTGGAAACAGTTTACATATAAATTAGTTTACCATCACTCTAAATTGTTGATCCAAACTCTATTCATACATATGATCCTACACAAGGCAGCTTAAGCTATATGAAATCGTGTAAAGCCAATCTGATTCATACTTGATTTACATTTATAGCAATATATATGTGCATTATGTACAATATTCAATACAAACCATCTTATTTATCTCCTCTACTGCCAAGCCAAAGTTAGTTGCCTGGAAGCCAACTGTGAGGTAAGACTGAAGCAGTGCATGATAATCCACGCCATTGCTGAAGTCATATCCTCTCACAACTTGTGCATTGGACGGCATTGCCTCACTCTTAACAAGCACGGCCTGCTGTGCAATGCATGGGGGTATATCCATCGTGCTTTCCAACAGATCAAATATCAGCAGATTCCACAGCACTTTCCTTCAGCAGTAGTAATAGTAGTTGAATCAAGTAATGATTCTGAAATATGTCAAAGTTAATGTATGTATGCAGGGTTTCCTCTGAGGGAAAATTAGACAAAGGAGGTAATGGCCAGTTTGGGGGAAAAACACGCATGATGGATTCAAATGCAGACGCTGCAGGTGGACGCGGGGGAGAGAGGGAGAAGGGGAACTCCCCCTCTTGCTGGGGGGGGGCCTGGGGGGTCTCCCCCAGGAAAATATTACAAATTTGAATGTCTTAGACTGCATTTGGGACATTTTCACAATGGCGATGTTAAATTTGACAACGGTGGTGCGCCACTGTGCCTCTTATGTATAAGAAACCCTGGTATGTATGCAAGTGTATGACACGACTGCAAACATATCATGATGTTCTTGTGTGTAAATAGGTGAAAATACAATGTGAAACATATGAGAATATGCAATTTCAGCACAGGGTCATAGATCTATTGTTAACAAGCCAGCGTTGACCGTGTTAAAGGTAGCATATCCTGGATTGCACCGTATGCTTCCTACTTTGGCTATGAACACTTACTCTCCCCATACTATTATATTCTATAGCCTTGCTGGCCTATACTAGATTATAATGGGCAGTGCGTTACATCTTGTACACTACCTAGGTAAGAAACTATGCCACCTCCAAATTCCACCTATGCCGCAGGAAATGGAAGTGCTTTCATTGTAGACAGTTACATTAGCCCTGCCACTTTTGCCTAAAAATAAGTTTGTCAGAGGTCAACAAGTGCTGTAGTTTATGAGGTAAGTTGTGTGTAGAATCTGACACACTACACGGTACACCTTATAGTTAACTTATATTTATAACTAGCAGGATCCATCCACCCACCCATCCATCCATCCATTCATCTATTGGGAATGCGTACGTCACAGGTCAACAGAAACGGCGCTCGAAATATCTGCCGCTCGTCACTTTGAATTTTTGTAACAGGTTATATTAGATTAATACAGAGTATTGTGATACATAGTAAGTTTCAGAATAGCGGAGAAAGGTTCGTGTTGAGAATAAACCCAGTTTGGAAGTTCTAGTCTCTGAAAACGCACCAGCAAACCGCCCTGAGTGATTCACTCAGGGGTTCCTCCACACAAAAGGATAGACTCGCGTTGTAATTAACCC